TCAGTTTTTAAAAATCTTTCCGGCATCTAAACCAGTATTACGTGAAGCCCCTGCAAACGTGGCGGGTGTGCTGTGCGAAGCCACTATCCTAACAGTTGTGTGTGGATAGAGATAAGTTCAGTAACCACATAGAGCTCTCAGGACCTCCGCGTCACAGGAGTATGTAATATTTCATATCTCAATGCAAATATTTGCTTAGACCTACAAAGGAAATTAGCAGACACAGTAAGCCACTGTATTGTCTGCTTATGTGAGTAATATTCTCTCATTAGAAGTCCGTACCGTCCCTGCTGAAATAAGAGATTAACCTATGTCGATACTAGATCAGATAGAATTTTGCCTCTCCCAGAAGCAGGCTCTGTAGGTACTCAGAGACAGCATTTCTGGACACCTGCGTCAGCAGGCACAATGACATTAAGCACCCAAATAGTAGAGCTACAATGACAGCATAGTGGCAATATGAGTTCGGCATTGAATGAAGTCGGCATTCAATAATTTCCTATTGTAATGTAACGTTATTATAAAGCGACATATTAGGGCTAGAACATAGCCATGGATGGGAGGAACTCTAACCATATGAGAAACAAAATGGCTTATTGCATCAGCTTTGCAACTGAGCACCCATAAACCTATTAATGCTGTTTTTATTAACAACTGAATATATTTTTTATGATGACAGACGGACCGTCTGACTACTTGGTGCTCCTAAGTTATTTTGCACTAGAATGCACTGAGAATTGTCGAATGGAAATCTGGTAGCAGAGTGTATACACGGTGGACTTTTGTGGAAAGACGTGAGCCCTCGAGCCAGCCAGATCTGTGTTCAGATTCCACAGCAGCTACTCACTGGCTATGTTTGACTTGGGGCGTGTGACCCAACCTCTGTCCTCACGTGTAAATCTGAGATTCTATAACTACCCTCTGCTCTATGCATTAAATGAGATTTGTGTGAATTGACTAAAATGGTTCCTGTTGTATACTAGATAATAAGTAGCAAATGTTATAATCTTATATTTAATATATTGTTTTTCCCCATATTACACCACTTCTCTGTTTTGATATATGTCACTTTACTAGGCACTAAGCTTGATTGTAGGGCATGACTTTCAGATTTTTCCTTTTTAAAATACTTCCAATTTCTACTGATAGTTTCTTCTGATAATTACTTTTCCTCATGTATATTTAATTTAATTTTTTAATATTTTTAGTTATTTTTGAGAGAGAGAGAGAGAGACAGAGTGCAAGTTGGGGAGGGGCAGAGAGAGAGGGAGACACAGAATCCGAAGCAGGCTCCAGGCTCTAAGCTGTCAGCACAGAGCCCAACGCAGGACTCGAACTCATGAACCGTGATACCATGACCTGAGCCAAAGTTGGACACTTACCCGAATGAGTCACCCAGGTGCCCCATTCTTATCTATATTTTAAAATGTCTATGTGTTTTATCTTGTTGCAAGAAAATTACATTCATTTAAAAAAGTATGTCCAATTTAGGCCAGAAAACATAATAACATCTTCAAATATTGGAAATTTGTGATGAAATCACTTTAAAATTAATATGTGTAGAGAATACATTCAAAAGAAAGCGTTATTGGGTCGCCTGGGTGGCTCAGTCGGTTGGGCGGCCGACTTCGGCTCAGGTCATGATCTCGCGGTCCGTGATTTCGAGCCCCGCGTCGGGCTCTGTGCTGACAGCTCGGAGCCTGGAGCCTGTTTCAGATTCTGTGTCTCCCTCTCGCTGACCCTCCCCTGTTCATGCTCTGTCTCTCTCTGTCTCAAAAATAAATAAAACGTAAAAAAAAAAAAAAAAAAAAGAAAGCATTATTTTGTATATGTTCTATTTTAAGGACTTTGTGAGCAATTTCTAAATTGTCAAGATGGTAATATATTTTAGGAAAATTCAGATTTAATATGTTTTCTACAAAGCTATGATAGGAGTTCTGTTCTTTGGCTTTTTTAGACTAGCAGCGAGGTATAGCAACATACCATCATGAACAGTCTCCTAAGAAATAAGTTATTCGCTTGATAAATGAAAGACCTAATGGTGTATTAGTGAGGTTTTCTGCCCATGGCATCCGCTTCACTGAAAATTCCTGCTCAGAAAGCGATGATGGAGTTGAAAATATATTGTCTGCTCCCTCGGAGCCGAAAGAAAAGCTGCGCTCTGTTGAGTAGGAGTGTTTCGTAAGATGCCGGACAGCGTGGCCGCACAGGAGGTGAGAAGAATCAAGATACATGGAAGAACACGCTGCTGTCCACCGGCTGGGCATCAGGATACACGTCCCTTGATCGCATTGAATACCCGGCAGTGAGGGGGCAGGCTTACCGTTCCCACCGTTCCCACACTTGAGGCTTTCGCATAGTTTGTAGCTTGTCTCCTGAAACGAGGACAGTGCGAGTCCAAAGCCGGCTCTGTGCTGTCCTGCCCATGGGCTCCAGGCTGTGCCGTCTTGTACTACATACCTTCTACGCACCTCCCACGTGGCCAGCATTCTGGGTAAAACAGGGAGGAAAACCAGCCAGGGAACTGCCCTCCTGTGGTTTAGGGGGAGGGGGATACAATCATCAACCCAGTGACCGCACAAATAAAGGTCTAAGTTGCAGACTGACAGGTGCTTGGGTGGAGAGGTACGGAGGGCCATGAGCACAGGTGAAAAGGGAGCCTGGGCTGGTTGCTTCTAGTTCACTGATGCAGGGATGCGTGGGCCGAGATCTAAAGGGTCAGCAGGGGTGAGCTAGTCAAGGAGTTGGGGAAGCACCTCCCAGGCCAGGAGGGCAAGTGAGGGAGTCCTCACCGAGGCACGTGAAGCATTCAGCAGATAGCAAAGGTGGCCGCTTTGGCTGCAGGGTGGGGATGTGAGGGAGACGCTGGTAGAATCCTACTGGGAGCTGTCTAGACCCTAATAAAAGTTGCACAGTCAGAAGAGAGCTTAGTATGACACGTGGATAAAAAGTATACAATCATCAGGGTGCCTGGGTGGCTCAGTCGGTTAAGCGTCTGACTTCAGCTCAGGTCGTGATCTCATGGTTCGTGCGTTCGAGCCCCGTATCAGGCTCTGTGCTGACAGCTCAGAGCCTGGATCCTGCTTCAGGTTCCGTGTCTGCCTTTCTCTCTGCTCCTCGCCCACTCACACTCTGTCTCTCAAAAATAAATAAATGTAAAAAAAAATTTTTTAAATACACATTCATCAATAGCTTCTTTCCTTTAATAGCAATAACCAATGAGAAACAGAAATAGAAACATTGCTTTCATTAAGAGAAAGCATTGATATAAAACACCCCAGAATTCTTTTTTTAAAAATATCCAGATCTAGCAAAAAATATTAAGAAATCTTACTTAAAGATCTAAGAACACCTCTCCACACAAGAAGAGTGTTATGTCATGCATTGTATGGGAAATTAGTATAATTAAAGTCCTTCTTCTGAAATCAATGTATAAATGTAATACAGCTCTACCAGAAGGCCAACGTGGGTTCCCTTAGAAGTGGAAAAATGATTTTAAAGTCTCTGTGAAGTATGAAAGCTTAACAGTATCCTCAAGATATTTCTTTTCTTTCTTTTTTAATGTTTGTTTCTGAAGGAAAGAGAGAGAGGAGAGAGAGAGAATCCCAAGCAGGCTCTGCACCATCAGCCCAGAGCCCGACTCAGGGCTTGATCCCGTGACCCTGGGATCATGACCTGAGTCGAAATCAAGAGTCGGATGCTTAAGCAACTGAGCCATTCAGGTGCCCCAAGATATCTCTGAAAAATAATTTTAGTAGGGGGGGAACTTGTTTACCAAATACTTAGTACTGATGGTTTTTGTAAAGCAACCGTAATTTTAATAGCATGGTGTAGCAACAGTGGAAGACAAAAGATCAGTGGAAAATTTACTGAGTTCAGACCTATCTGTGAGAATGTAGTGTATTTTGAAAACATAAAAATTCAGCGAGTGCATCTTTGTTTCCAAGACTTGAAAAGCCTATTATTAGAGACCTATGATGTTTGGATTATGATTTTTAGAATGTATTATTAACACTATGTTATTTCTGTGTATGTTCTCTTTAGTGTATTTCAAACTTGTATTTATCATTAATTATATTAACTTAGAAATTTTACTTTTCCAGGAAAAGGAGTACATTTTCAAGTATAACCTAATGTTTCCATGCAGTAATGCTATGAAATTTTTAGTAGCTCAGAATGAAATGTGAATGTTAATTTACAAAATCTTAGACCTCTGGGTAAGATGAGAAATACAAGAACAAATTTTTAAAGGTTTAAGAGGTTGGTAGATATGCCTGAAGTGACAAATTGGATGCTTGCAAAGAAACCGTGTATGTGTATGTGTGTGTGTTTGTATGTATGTATGTGTGTGTGTATATATATATATATATGTATATATATATTGTGTGTGTATATATATATATATAATGTATATATATATGTGTGTGTATATATATATTTCAATCAGAGTGATTAAAATTTGTCAAATACTCTTCTGGTATAGATGAATAACTGTGTATTATAAGTTGTCAAAAGGTTAGCCACATAAAAACAGGGTCTCAAGGTGATAGTTAAAACAGATCCGTTGTTCCCAAGGTTATAGTAATAAATTCATACACAAACGGATTAGATACTCAATGCTCAGAAATATATCTGCCCATCCTCTCAAAATTCAAATTACCCTGTCCATTACCGTCCTTGTCACGATCCAGTTAATTCCTTCATTCCCCAAAGAGCACTGGGAATGATGATGTAAAATTTGCTTCACTTCTAAAAATGAAACTTTAAGACTGAAAATTATAACTCCTGGATTATTAGCTATAGGATTTGTGGGATCAATGGTAAAAGTAAGGTGGTTCCTCAGGACAAATTTCAAACATGAACGAAGCTTAACCCTAGGGGTGGATAAATCTGAGAGGTACACGTGATTTACCTTGTTTCCTGAAATTAATCGCAGTGAACCCTTCTCTTTGATAGTAAAAATGATTTTACTTTAATCTCTGTCTCTCTTTTTTACCTAGGGAGGATGTGAGGACAGCCAACGTAATCGCTGCAGAGGCTGTGACCTGCCTGGTCATCGACAGAGAGTGAGTACATTGCTTTATTATGCGTCCTACACGCACCTGTCAGTGGCGTACCTCAGTTCTTCGAAGTACACATCGTTTTATGGAGTTATTAACACTTGTTTTATGTTGTTTCATTTTCAAATGAGTTTTATGTTTGATGCTCATTCCCTGTTTTTCTTGGAATGGGAAGGAATTCTCACTCCCTGTTGTCCCTTCTGCCCTTGAGATCTTTCGCCGGGTGCGTAACCGTTAGGAGCCTCACTGCAGTTAGCCGGTTTATACACGGGCGATGATGCACTTGTTCACAAAGATGTGAGGATTAAGGAGGGCGCGTGAGGAAAGCGTGGGTCCCAGTGTTGTTTCTGTTTGTCTGGTTTTTTGTTTTCTTTACTTTGGACAATCTTAACAATGCTAGCTATTGGTATAAATGTTCATAGTACTGATAATCATTATCACTATTATAGAATGTACAGTGTTACTCGTATCATTATTAAGACGTGGACCGTTCCTCCAGCCTGCTTTACTTATCTCTAGGCTCCCACCCCCAGACTTCTATAAGTATTTAAGGAAGATGCCTTTGGAGAAAACGTCATTTTAGACAGAGGTATATATTTGGGGTTATTAAAAGTGTGGGTGATGCCTACCCCTGTTCCTTCTCTGCATTCTGGCCTTGCTAGTCTCATGGCCCAAGGGCTTTTTCGGTTAACTACAAGGGTCGGATTGCAGACTCTCCAAGGGCCTGGGGGTGCACTGTCTGCAGGCAGTCCTCCAGGCTCTTTCTCACCGCCTTTCTGTGGATAAGTCGATCAGAAAAGCCAAGTGCCTGGCCCAAGGGAAAGCAGTGTAAAGCACCCCATTAGCAGCCGTGGGGCCGGAAGAGGCTGTGTCAGTGGGACATGCCACTGGGGGCCAGATGTGAGCAGTCCGGAATGATGGAGTTGAATGTTGAGCTTCGTGAGCTCTAGGGGAAGAGGGGTCCCGCTCGATCCCCACATCTCAGTTCTGGAGACCCCTCGGCCCTGGGTCTCTAGAACCAGAGCGGCAACACAGCCGCAGAACGACGTCTGACACCGATGCTCTTTATCTGGTTCCCAGAAACAATATCACCTGGTCATCCTTTGCTTCGTTCGCCTCTCGACTTTCTGAGGATCTACTGAGAACAAGGTCTTGTGTTTGGTGCTGTGAGAAGAGTCCGAGGGGCAGCACAGATGCCGGTTTGGGGGGCTCGCTTCTACTAGAGAAGATGTAGCCTCCGCACAAGGCAGAAAATAGGAAGGGTCCAGAGCACGCGCTTGCGCTGTGATTAGGTGGGTCTGGAAAGCACAGGAGAGGCAAGATGAGCAGAGTGAACCACACAGCGACCCTCGCGAGGGAGCAGGGAACCGTGGCAGCGTGCCGGCGTGGGGCTGGGTGAGGGCGGCCGGAGGCAGTGCTGCGACGGGTGCTTCATACACACACTGGGGCCGGTTCACCAAGAACACTCTTTGTCGGGGTGAGGGTAACTGACGGTTTTAGGCAACCAAATAGTGTCCGTCACTGTATCACTGCATTTGGTAGAATGATCCCAGAAGGCTCTGTAAAATGTGTTACGGGTGAAGTAGGAGCGGGGATATATGGTTAGTATCTGTCAGCCCAAATGGTGGTCATGAGACCGGCTAGAGGAGACAAATGCATTAGGATGAAAAGGTAAAACCAAAGGGCTTGCTCCTTGACCGAAAGGAAAGGGCAAGGAAGAAACTAGGGGTGTAGTCAGGATTGAGAGATGATCTAGAAGATGTACAGGAGAGTCGGTTTGGGAGGCACAGTGGTATTCCCTCAAAAACATAATGGACTTGACGTACCAATGGGACACTCAAGAACAGATGCTCTGCAGGAGATAGAAAAGGTGGGACAAGAACTCTTGTCGGAGTTAACTTAAAATTGACTTCAAATTTGCTTACCTAGAGTTAGCAGCTGAAGCCATGGGACTGGACGGAATTGTGTCAAAGAATAAAGATAAAAGGACCAAGGTTAAGATTTGGGAAAATTGTTACATTGAAGGAAGAGGCAGGAGAAGACACACCAGTGAATAGAACTGAGGTGTCAGCTCTCAGAGCAGGTACGTAAAACCTCAGAATCCAAGGGAAGATCCAAGAGAGGAAGGACAGTCGGCAGTGTCCAATCCAAGTGGAAGCCAGGAGGCAGACAGATAGAGAAAAGGCCGATAGTTCAGGAGCCTGGGAGAAAAAAGCTTCAGTCAAGTGGTGAGAATGGAGTCCAGGTTGCAGAGAGCAAGTGGGTGCTGAGGAAGTTAGACCACCCAGACTAAGGGTTCTTTCTTTCAAGAACTTGGTGAAACGGATGGAGGGAGGGAAGGAAGGAAGGAAAGAAAGAAAAGAGGGAAGGAGGGAGGGAAGGGAAAGGAAGGGGGAACATGAGGCATTGGCGGGTCTTGGAGAGCGTCCTTGTGATGAGTACATACATGCATCCGGGAAAATGGAGGAAATGAAATACTAGAGGGACCGTTTGATGGAAATGGGGCCACAGGGGAGGAAATTGTGGGCAAACAAGGAAAGAATACTTGGAGACTGTGTGCTTTTCTTTTCTTCTATTTTCTAAGAGGAGAAGTAGAAAATTTGTAGAGATTTAGATAAGGAAAGCTATGGGAGCCCAATATGGTCTTGACCTTGTCTCTAAAACATAGAGCAAGAAGAGCATCTGGCTGGCTCAGTTGGAAAAGCATCTGATTCTTGATCTCAGGGTCATGAGTTCGAGCCCCACACGGGACGCAAAGACGACTTAGAAATAAAATGTTTAACAAAATAAAGTATAAAGCGAGAAAATCTGGCCAGGGAGGGAGTGGGGGTGGGGCTGAGGATGTGCCAGGTGACTAGGGTATCCCATCAGTTTATATCCCTACAGTCGTTTATAATTTGGGAATTTTCACATGCATGGCATCCCAGCTGGAAGGTAGGCAGGATGGTCAACAGGAGAGGAAATGGAAGCCCATAGAAGTTTAATAACTTGATAAGATTTCCTGGTAAATGATAAAGCCCAGATACATCAGAGAAACAAAGTAGATGGGATTTTTGTGGGCCATCTGGTCCTGCTTCTTCAATTTAGTTAACTGTGGGCCTGAGGACTGAAGGAGCACCACATAGCATCGTGCACATACTTTGGCCCTCGTCCGAATTTTCTCTTTTTCTCAAATGTGGTCATACACGCTTTGCGCCGGGCAGTGCATGGGCTTTGTCAAAACAGAATTCACTAGTTGGATCGTGCCTGCATCATGTTTGGGCCGTTGCCTAATACTTAATAGGGACAGTTACTTAAATTCTAAGTCTCAGTTTCCCTACCTGCAAAATAAGCTCACATTACCGCAATGTGAGCTTGGTGGGAAGGTCGGTTTATTGTACACGCAGGTCCATGCACAGCATAGGATGTGGAGCAAGCGTTCAGTAAACACGGTCTCCTTTTCTTGCAGAAGACACAGGAGCCCCTCTGATTTGCCAATTTTTCCATCTAATTGGCAGAAGTTTATCCTTAGGAACACACACTGAGAGGACACCTCGAGAGCGGTCTTTCAACAGAAACCTACAGAAGGGAGCCTGCACGTAGAACTCACCACACGCATTTCTGCACTCTTAGAAGGGAAGTTGCTCTTCCCACCAAATGTCAAATTCACAGCTTGAAAAACAACCAAACTGTAACTGAAGCCTCCTGTCAGGAGCCTGCTGCTGGCACCTAATTTATGGCCAATTAGGGGAGCACCCGGGCTTCATCCCATGCAAACAGATGGCAGACATTAGACCTGTCAACAAAAGGAGCTTCTTTCACAAATTTACAAGCGCGGTACCACATTACAGAAGCCCGTGATTATGCTTTATCATTCCAGAGGGAAAGCAAAAGCACACTATTGTAACTAATCATGCATGGCAGAATTTCTCTTAAAAAAAAAAAAAAAAAAAAAAAAAAAAACGCTCCTTGACGAACTAGAAAATGATACACCGATACCTGGTGGTCCCACGAATCTGCTGATTCGGGTCTTGTAGCCTCATCCTGATCTTTGTAACTGTCTGCAGTGATTCCAGAAGTTGCAAATTGACTGCAAAGCGATATTTGTCTAACAGGCCATTCTGTTTCCATTAACACAATTTTCGAATATTTAAAAAATGATTAGGTGTCTTTAGCACCTCTTTTTTCAGAATCCGTGAAAATAAGTACGTTAGAATGTTTTGTAATCAGTTAGGCAGTACCCTACTACTTTACTGACATGAGTTGTTGATGTGGCTAGAAATTGAAGAAAGACTATATTTTTACATGTTGAGATCATTGTTAAAAATGGCAGCATAACTACTAGTATTAAAGAGTTTTATATTTTTCCCCAGGAAATTAAGGTCTAAGTAAGTCCTGACTCTATCCCTGATTTAGTGTGTAATTTCCAAGACATAGGCAAACTGGTTATGAAAATTGAAATGTTTTCATATTGGTTAGGAAAGAGCAGTGGTCTGAGCTCCCTGTGTGTCTCTTCTCACCCTCTACTGCTCTGGTCATCTGATTCCCCCACCCAGGACTCTCCCAATCTCTCCTCAATCCAACAACTAAAAGCTAACTTCTGGCAGACCCCAGGACTAGTATCCATTCTGATTGGTCAATTCTTGTATCACACTGCTAATTATTTTGACTAGAACCCTGGTAATCTCAAGCTAAAATAACACCTCATTACCATTGCTTTCAGACTTTGGCTTTACCGTATCTGTGGCTTAAAGAAAATCAATTAGAAAGAAAGCAACAACTATTCTGGTTCCGTGGGGGTGAAGCTTTCAGAGTACCCAAAAGTCTTCCCTCTGTCCCTCTAAATCATTCCAGGTGATGCCTAAGCGCCCCACCCCCACCCCCGCCACATGGGAGTCTAGGCATCACTAAAATAATTTGCAAACCGTTATGTGCTAACCTTTTCATCACTGACACTTGGGATATTTGATCTCACTTTGGGGGCTGTAGTGGCCTGACACAGGACTCAGGTGTCATTGAGACGGAGC